TTTATAGAAGTACTTCTTTGGGGGTCGTCGACATGTGGATAATAAATGCAATGTTGTCAGTGAATGTCAGTGGCTGTATCGATGTTGTTTTAGGACAGGACGAGAGATGCATATTCGTATTAAAATCATTTCCAGGTCGTTGTCGGGTAGAGAAAACAGTGATGTGGCGAAGAAAAGCAGGAAGCGAACAAAGAGCGCAGTGGAATCGGACAACGATAAACCAGCTGTTTTGTCTAAAAACCGTCCCACAGAGGTACTGACTAGCATTATTTTCTACTAGTACGTAAAGGATCTAGCACTGCATCATTTGCCATAGTCTTATTCTAAAGTAGCTACGTTTACCTATCACTGCTTTGGCCTGATCGACTTCAAGCAAAAACGATACTTCCCTGTTTTATCATACCTCGAAAAAATAAAGTTCGTTTTTTCCGAAAATAATGGATTTCGTTTTTCTTCTGTTTTCCAACGAATAAATTCTGCTTTTTATGGGTCTAAAATATCTGTTGCTGAGCCTTTTTCAGTATGCTGAAACGTCTATAAATAAGTCGGCGGTGCGGCCGAAGAAGATTCGATTTGATGAGAATGGTGATCCCATTCCAGTATTATCTGACCAGGCAATAGGCGGCTTTGAGTATGTTTTTGCATAAAATGTGTTTTTTCAAAAAATATAGAATATATATTCTCCTGGAACAATGGCTGGCTTTGGCTCCTGCTTGTCTGGGATCCCCAGCGATTACCATCGACTGTGTAAACGATGTTTCGGAACAGTAATTAGGACTGTTGCTTATTTTTTTTTTTTAATGAGACTGTTATTTTCAGGAGGGTTTCAGGAACTGCTTATGAAAAGGAAGCACTTTTAGAGCTTTGTAATGGAGAAGGCAGCGATTCCAGAACTGCTTCTAAAAAGCTGAAACGAAAGAAGAAAAAGAAGGTAGAAGAGAGCCAGAAAACAAAAAGTTTGCCCGAAAAACTGAATGCAGAGGTTTGAAGCATTATTTTGGTTTCTGCTATTGCATACATTTAATATACATCTGAACTCTTGCGTTTTGGCATCAAACATCTGTGTTTAAGTAATTTCCATACTGTGAGGGGTTTTTTTACGTTAGCTTCTTTGATTTGTTTCAAAATGTTGGGATTTACATTGAAAAAAAAGTGCAGCCTAAGCTGGTTTGCTTCCGATATATTAATAACTCAATTTTGCTTACAACTGGCGCAGCAACGAACAATAAGTGAAGACCTTCGTGTATTCGCACATAAATTTTGCTGTGTTATCGCGAAATCGCATCTGCTTGTTTGTTTGTCTGTGTGATTTTTCTCAAGAGCATGAAAATGAGGGGTTTGGTGCTCCGTGTTTTAGGCAATTAAACTGGGATCTACCAGTGCCTTAACAATTAGGAAAGCTGGACAGAGGCAGGAGAGAGAGACGGAGAAGAGGCAGTGCCCTAATTCCGTCTCTAAATACGGTGCTAACTTATTTCTAAGATTGGCAAATATAATGATTGCAGAGAAATCGGTCCTTCTATTGCGAATGGAACTCCGATCATTTTCGCGCGTTTCTGCATAGCTGATGAAATGCAAACATGAACACACTACTACTGGGAGCAGTTATGATGTTTGTTTTTTGCGAGTTTGAAACATCTGTTTGCTCACTGTTTTCAGTTTGCTGGAACGTCCACGAATATGCGACCGAAGAAGATACGATTCGATGAGTATGGCAATCCTATTCCGGTAAAAAGTGGCCAAGAAGTGAGCAACAAGTATGTTTTTCTTAGAATATAAGAATTAGGTTCACTTGGGATTGTAATTGGCCTTGGTCCATGCAAGATTAGGCCTGTTGGCAACTTCCAGTGGTCGCGCAGGGCGATTTTTCAGGATAACTCAAAAGACTGTTGCTTCTTTTTTATAATGACACTGCTGTCTTCAGGATCGTTTCTGGAAATGATTATGTTCCGGGGGCGCTACTAAAATTTCTTAATGGGGAAGAAAGCGACTTCATGGAAGGCATTAAAAAGGCGAAACGGAAGGAAGACGTGAAATCAAAAAAGTACCAGTCAGCAGAAGTATTGTCCAAAAAACTTGCCACAGAGGTTTGAAACATTACTTTCATCGTTAACTTTTGCAGACAATTGAAATATATTTATCTGAGACTCTGAGATAACTGATAATGCGTTTAAATGCGCAGCAGTATAAATACCTGCAGAGGAGCAAGGGAGATATCCAGTGAAGTCATCTTGCATCAATTTCCATGGTTTATTTTCAGGATGTTGGTATTTCTGCTGACGAAAAAGTACTGCAGCCTCAGCTAGATCGTTCACACGGTAGCAGAGACCCTGCATCGTTAAAATCTGATGAGGGAACGAGCAGTGGGTAAGAATTTCTGTGTGTTTTTCAAACGCACGTTACAGTAGGTCAAGTCTGCGCGCCTGTCTCTTTGTACGATTTAATGCAAGATGAGAAAAGTGGAATTATAGGGGCCATTTGTGGATTACACAGTTGCAAGATTGCCTCTCTCTGATTCCGCTTCTCCCTTCGAAGTGGTTTACTTATGAAGAGAAGTATGGAGTGTTTGGCGGGTTTTTTCGGGAAAGAGCTGTTCTGCGCTGCAAAAGTTGAATGTCTGCAAAAAATAGTATGCTCCGTTTCCTTGCTATAAAAAGAAGTTTAACTTTTATGCTTCGTAGTAGGATGAAAAAGACGGGAAAAAAGGAACCGTCAATGGATGAAAAAGCGCGTACGATATTCGTAGGGAACGCTCCACTCAGCAGCTCGCGAAAGCACATAAAGAAGCTTTTTTCCAAATTTGGCACAATCGAGAGTGTGCGGCTACGATCAGTGATTACTGCTGACAAAAAAACTTCAAAAAAGGTTATACTTTTGTATTACAGTTATCTACGAAATCTACCAATAAAATTAAAATATTAAAATGAAAATGTTT